TAATCTTCTTGACAAGATAAATCGTCAAACAACTTTGATCTGGATAATTTTGAACCTTACTGACGAACAGTTAAAGATTATTTTCTCTAACTCGAGATTATTCTGTAACATAGTTTCAAAAGGTAATATGTGCTCGCGATTCGTTGAAGGAATCAATTTGAAAACTGACGAACCTTTTCAATCCGTGACTGTACATAGATGGGTCTCACATTCTTTACATTTTATTTTATTTATATTTTTTTTTATTACCCATCCAGCGGTATATGCTCTCGAGTGTACATTCAATCTTTCACGAGCCGCTTGTACGCGAATATTTTCTGAAGACAGATCCTCAACAAATCCAATATTTTCATGTATATTTGAATCAATGATGTGTTGCATCTGTCCTCAGTGCGTTTTACAAATAATGACTGCACTTGAATCAACTGGCTGCAAGCATCATCCTCACAATTATAAGTTTGATTGTGGAATTTCATAAATCCCGTTATCAATAAGGATCTAAATGTACTTATGAAGGTGTGGCAAGTCGGATCATTGTTCCTAAAATTATACGCCCTCACCCGACAAAAAAAGTTTTCTATGGGGTCAGAGTTCAAGTAGCGAGGGCGCATAACTTTAATGTTATTATTGTTCAATACATGCCACACCCTCTGGTAACTCTTTAAAGTTGTTACCCAGTTTTTTAAAGTAGGCACTGACTTTTCGCTACCCCCATCAACAAATTTAATTGTTTTTATTTTATTAATGGCTTCTTGCCAAAAACCATGGTGTGGGGAGTTCGCAGTTACTGCTTTCCTTAGAGGTTTTCCTTTATTATTTTTATGTGTTAAAGTAGAGCCATTAACGCTGTCAAAAAGATTGTCGAAGAACCCTACTGTGTCCGCAGTATTTTGCAGCGTATCGCTGACAGGTCTGCCATCCGAGTACTTAGTGAGATGAAAAAAATAATTTGGACAATCAATATAAATACTACAGGCACCAGGCACAAAAACGGTGTTAAATCAAAAATAATATTAATTGACGTTGCTGCAACTATGTGACTTTCAAGCCTAATAGGCAGGCATAATGCGAATTGTTATTATTCAATATTGTATGAATATTACTTACAGAATTCAGCTGTATACGACAAGGCAGCCGCCATAGTTTTAGATAGAACCCGAACGCAGTTTTTCACCTGTAAAATTTAAAAAAATACAATAAGTATGGTTCATTCAATGCTGAAAACAAAGAACTGAGTAAAGAAGTGGTGATTTTATTTCCTTACCTTAATTTTTTTCACTTTTTCGGGAATGACGTGTTCGTCGTTTATTTTATGTAGTAAGCGCCTTATGGTGTGTTTGCAGTCGGTTTGGTATACGTCGACTATGTCTTGCCACTTTGATATTTTCCCATTCATTTTTATATTTTTCGTGATAAAATTATTCCGTAGCCCTTTTATCAAATGTGGTTGATCGAAAATCACACTTAGTGACGTACCAGAAATCTCTATACCAGCACGTATTTGTTCACCTCTGATATTTTCCTGCAGAGTTTTTAATGCCGATTGAAATGAAGACCCTTGGTCACTCACAAGGGCAATGGGGAGGAGGCCAGTTTCGACAAAGGCATTTACAATTTCCTTCAAAATTATTTGTAAGTTTTGTGATGAAACAGCTCCTTCCGTAAAATAAAACGCCACAGGCTGTTGCCATTTGCAGACGGCACCTCTCGCCATAAATACGAGAGCATGGTCTGCCAGGTTATTAGTTTAATTTTGTTGAGCTCGACGAATCCTGAGATATTATCATACTTGTTTGAATAAAAAAAGAGCCGGTTCAAGAGCCATTTCGTCAAACATAATGGTGCAATACTTTTTTTTCTCTTCTCAGCCACTGACCTGAAACAACAATGTAAAAAATTTGAAATCGGATAAATAATTGATGACTATAATATGGATTCTGTTTTACCCCCTAAGGGGTTAAAATCCCGTCTTAGTGAGCACCTACGTTCTAAAAGGAACCCCCATGCAAAATTTGCGAATCATAGCACTAGCAGTTTCTGAGATTTCGTGATGAGTGAGTGAGTCAGTCAGTCAGTGACCTTTCGCTTTTATAGATAGTATAATAGATATAATAGATAATAATGAATTCTTTCACATCAAGACTTATTTTCCATTTTGACTGAGATGAATTTATTAGTTTTCTATCACATTGATTAGTTTTAGATTCCTTTACCAGTAGGTATAAATATAAAATGGGGACAAAACGAAAATAACGTTTGTACAATTTTTTGCGACCATACCCCCTAACTGTCCCCCTTTTTTTAAATAAAGTATATTATGCAAGCATTTATAGGGCTTGCGATTCGACTCAAGTATGTCACATCGCCTGCAGAGGCCAAAAATATACCTATTGGCCAAAATCGCAAGCATGGACGTTCGATTATTATGGCAAATAAAATGATATTTCATTTAGATAAACTGCAGTGCATGATAGAAAAATTGAGAGTGTTTTTTAAATGATGTAATACATTTACTGTACGCAAGTTATTATTAGCTATGCATTCATAAAATAGCTTCACTTTTTAAATAAATAGCAATGCGTCACGAACTTAAATTGCTGCTAAGATTTTAATATTTTAAGGTAATTATTTTGCTGCGCAATCAGTATTTTTGGTTAGAATTCGGATATTTTTAGTATGCAAAAGGATGATTTTTTGACTTGCAGTTAAATACTACCCATACACATATATTTAGTATAACTACTGAACATTGATTTACCTGTAACAAACCTTTAGTTTATATGTACATATATGAAACTGCACCTTATTGGTTTCATTCATCATATTCATTGAAAAATCATCAAAATAAGGTGCCGGGGCAGCAATGTCATTACAACGAGCCCAACTCAAAAACCACACCACTGTCATGATGTGAGCACAACAACCAACTGTTTTGTTTGTTTGCCAACAAGACAGCTACAACAATAACCAGTTATGGCTTCTACGCTGTTTGCTACAGCAATATCTTTACTTATTAACAAATAAGTATAGTATGTACGACTGCTAACATGCCTTGATTTGATTCTACCTCTCAACAAATAGTTATTTAGTCCTAAAATCAGAGGAATATCATCATCGATTTCATTGTTTATTTCAATCAACAGAATATATTCCAGAATGCCGAACATGTTCTCCGTAATAGGATCTTGCTTGCTTTAGTTGGTAGGTACCTAGAGCGAATCTCTTCAGGTCTGTAATTGAGAGTTTTGGAAATCTCACTAAAATAATGAGGATGATTGCCAACAATAGTTTGGAAGATAGCTCGTCTTCTGTTGAGATTTTCGTTTTCTACATAACTTGCCAAGTGGTTTTCAAGTGAAAGTCTATTTTTGGCTANAATCAACAGAATATATTCCAGAATGCCGAACATGTTCTCCGTAATAGGATCTTGCTTGCTTTAGTTGGTAGGTACCTAGAGCGAATCTCTTCAGGTCTGTAATTGAGAGTTTTGGAAATCTCACTAAAATAATGAGGATGATTGCCAACAATAGTTTGGAAGATAGCTCGTCTTCTGTTGAGATTTTCGTTTTCTACATAACTTGCCAAGTGGTTTTCAAGAAAAAGTCTATTTTTGGCTATTGCCACATATTCCAAAGGTTCCGGTGGGTCATCTATGGCAACGTGGAACTTGTTTAATAATGCACAACCAATTTTAAAATCGTCCTTGAGGTGCATAGCAGCTCTGTTATTAAATACGTGACGAAACAACCTAAAATATCTTTTTATCCTTCCGTTTACTACACCTACAACCCAACGACTCATTGTTACAAAACGAGACCGATTTGCCTGCTGTGTTTTTAGTTGATGTTCATTTTCCAGGAGATACTCTGGCTGGCATATGTGCAACAAACCCATGCCCTTGGAGTTCCTACTCCTAGAGAACCTACGTAAAGAAAGAAATAAATACTTAAAAATATTACTTACGAATACATAAATAAATATACAGCCTTAATTGTCTTACTGTTCCACGATTTGGACAAATACTTACCTACCTAATTCCCACTGAACTGGCGACAGAAAGCGTTTCAGACTCCCGCGTGTTCCTGAGTAGCTGCACGGGTAGCTGTGCGTATAGGTACCTATAGTGTTTGTGTGATGTGCAGCGATGTGAAAAATAGTTTTGTAAAAGTATTTAAATACAAAATACGTATTTTCAAAATAGGTTTTGAAAATAAAATACATTGTTAAGGGTATTATTTTTATTTAACTTATACACTTATATTTATTTAACATATATTTATACACTTATATTTATTTGATTTTAAAACTAGTATACAAATACTAATTTTCTGATAAAATATCCACAATCAAAGAGTTCATCTTTCATGTTCCGCCTGTGGGGCCTCATAATCATTCCACCAAAAGAAAATAATCATTCAACAGGGGCAGAACCACAAAGTACTTTTTATATATGGAAATAGAGACACCTCTCAGCGGCTAAAAGTGGCAACTTTATAGGCATGGCGCCCTCTGTATTACTTTTATGGGACTACTACGTATTGCATGGTATACCTATAGTATTAATGTTTCTAATGATTCCTCTTATTTCAATTTAGGGGACATTAAACTATAAAATGAAAACACATTAATAAGTTATTTCTTTTTATTTCTTTGGTCTTTTAAAACATTTTTTGAAATATTTTTTTGCTTTTATTTGCATTCTGTCCTCGTCGTCATAGCAGTCCATTTTACCATTTAATATTTTATTTATGTCTTTGCAATAGTTATACAAGAAAAATCGGGATGTAATATTTATTAAAAAACTTACAATTTTTTCTTTATGTTCTCCACATTCCAAAAAGTCAAAATCAACTAACATTAAAATATATGTTTTTATTAATTCTTTAATATGGTTTTTTTCAATTGATTCTTTTATAATTGTATAAGTAACATCCTGGACTGCCGAGACACAATTTATTATAAAATCGGTCGGACTGCAAAGCCACTGACGACCTGCATATTCACGATATTTAATGTATTCTGCACCTTCTGTTGCAATGGTATTCCTTTTGCAGTTGCTACAATTTTTAAACACTTTATTTTTTGATTTTCTGATAAAATATCCACAAACGTATTGTAAGGCCCCCATAATACGGGGGTCACTTTTTGCTTTCACATCCCAACTAATATTATAAATGCGAAAGTAACTCTGTCTGTCTGTCTGTCTGTTACGCTTTCCCGCTTAAACATCGCAACCGATTTTGATGAAATTTGGCATAGAGATAGTTTGAGTCCCGGGAAAGAACATAGGATAGTTTTTATCCCGGTTTTTGAAACAGGGACGCGCGCGATAAAGTTTTTCTGTGACAGACAAAATTCCACGCGGGCGAAGCCGCGGGCGGAAAGCTAGTCTTCAATAACTATGTTTTGTATGGATTCTGAATCGCAGGTCGTTGTGGCTTTACAGTCATCCGTGACGACGAGGGCATGTAAGTTTCTTCCGAAATCTTCCTCACAATTAGATCCCACCGGGGCATGGACACTTGAAAGATTGTTTATTAAAAGTGTTGTAAAGGCGCTTATGAATTTGTCCAGAGTCGGATTATTATTACGACACCCATGGCTCCTTATGGCACCGAAGAAATTTTCAATAGGGTCTTGATTAAAATGTCTCATCTTGACAGAAGTGATTTTAATTTTTTTTTCTAAATTTTTTAATAAAATCTCTATTCCCTCAAGTGTCCATGCCCAATTATTTAATGTACGTACATTTTCAGTTTTATGTGAAGTTACAGTAACAAATTTCATTTGTTTTAATTTAATTTTGGCATCTTGCCACACCTTGTGGTGTTGCGATTTTGGCGTGACGGGTCCGAGTAGAGGCTTCGCAAATTTATTCATTTTAAAACTTCCATTTAACGAATCGAAAAGATTATCAAAGAATATAAGAATATCAGCCGTTTCTTTGCATTCTTTTGGCAGAATTCCCTTATCTGAAAAACAAAACCACCACTTTTTAAATATGAAAATATCATTTATTAAATTTAATATACTTTATGTAGGAACTACGAATTAACAATTTTATTTCATGTTGTGATCATGTCATTTTTCTACCTATTATTTAGAAAGAATAATATAAAAAATGTATAATAATCTACATTAAATTTTAACCATGGTATATTATTACAGACAGACAGACAGACAGACAGACAGACAGACAGACAAAAATTTTACTGATTGCATTTTTGGCATCAGTATCGATCACTAAACACCCCCTGATAGTTATTTTGAAAATATATTTCATGTACAGAATTGACCTCTCTACAGATTTATTATAAGTATAGACATGTATTTGACCATTAACATTTATTTGTATTGTTCTATTTAAAATTGCCTCAGTAGTATTTCTCTGACATGTATTTTGACCATTGACATTTATTTTTATTGTTCTGTTTTTAAAGTGACTTATTAATATCTCTTTGACATGTATTTGACCACTGACATTTTTTTTCTCTTGTTCAGTGTTTCTTTAAATTATTTAATGTTCAATACTCAATATTTTATTGCATCCATTATGTTCTTAAAATTAGAACATTATGGACCATTTAATTTATAAACTGCATGTACCTATTTTATATGTGACCTAAGTGTACCTATGATATGTTTATTCTATTTTTAAGCTTGTAAGCGCTTTGGACCTGCTCTGTAAGCTTACAAGTGTTTTGCATTAATAAATAAATAAATAAATAAATATAGCATTCCTGTTGTTGGTGCCTTGATCGCATACAGTTGCTACGACGACTAGGCCTGCTTTTTGTAGCTGGGTAATAATTTGTTTTACATGTATGGCAATTTGCTGGCCACTTGTGGCTGCTGCAGCAAAAGTGTAACAAACAGGCTGCTTGTAATTATTCATTACACCTCGTATCATGTACACCTACAAATAAAATAAAAATAGTGTATTAAATATGTATTACACAGTAAAAATAGTATTTTTATTATTTTAACTAAATT